GATGCAAGGTCAGACTACCTGATAACAACCGTTGTACAGTCCATACTGCCATTGTCATGCCATACCTTCATTGTATCTTGTTGTTTCATGTACTATATCTTGAATACCACTGGCAATTGATGTATCTATGCGAATTTCTAATAAAATTTTCAACAAAAAAAAAACACGGCGCCCCAGGGTACTGCGGCCCAACACACTCTAATGGAGGACTCCATCCCAGACCTAGGGTCCCTGCTGTCGAAGGACAGTGACGCTCCATCCACAAAGGAGGACATATATAACCTGTTCCTACACATGCAGAAACTCTTCACACTCCTCTCCCGGAGGAACTTCCACACTATGTCCGGCGCCTGATCGCCTTCCTACTACCAACGCGTTGAACCAAGCAATTCTCCTTTGAAGTTTACCGCATAGCCAAATCCCCCCAAGCGCCCACCACCTCAACTCGAGATATCATATTATGCTGTCAGTCCCATGCAGACAAACAAAGGATCTTCACAGCCCTGAGGGGAAAAACGCCACTGCAATTTGAATCATATTCACTCACCTTTTTCCAGGACCTTTGCAGAGCCACGCTACTATGGAGAAAATCCATGCAACCAATCACCAAAGCCCTTCAAAACGCAGGACTGGCATACCGATGGTCCTACCCCAGAGCTATCACAGTGATAAAAAACGGGACACACTACAAGGCCTCAAGCCCATCGGACTGTGCAGCTTTCCTAAGGGCTCTGGAAATACCAGCAACACAAGCTAACTGCTGATTGGGACGTGAGTAACATCACCCCCTTCAAATCCAGGAACAGACAGGACACTGACACCTGATTACTGACATGTACTCTGACCTCCTATGTTGTTGTTTAAATTTTTTTCTCCTTATAATTTCGGGCCACCCTAGCCCGCGCAAAACTTGGGACTCTGGCGGACAATACCTGTTATATGTTATATGTTTGAACGGGACTTTAAGCTCACTGACACCTGATTGCTGACATGCACCCCGGCCTCCTAAGTTCTTTAAATTTTTTTCTCCTTGTAATTTCGGGCCACCCTAGCCCAGGACAGGCTCTACTCACATCAGCCACCTAGTTAAACAGATAACGGCTCGACTGACACAAAGGCAACGCGAGTAGTAGAGTACCAATGACACACGTCTATGGGACCAACCCGATGTTATTTTTCAACATAATGTGCAGCCAATACCTTAGTCATATCATGTTTAACCATTGAATTTATTGCCATGGTATTGCAAATTTGAACATGTTATGCACAGCAGAAATAAAGAATAAAAAAAAAATAAAAAAATACAGAACAACAAAAAAAAAAATCTATATATAGATGTATTATATATATAATATATATATCTTTTCTATATGGAACGTCATTCTAACTGTATTTTAATACTAATATATGTACTTACATTAATATTAAAATACATTACGTATGAGGGGCGTGGCCGACAGCAAAGACGTGTTCCTATTGAGCTCTGCACCAGAAACACTAAAACGCGACAATTATACCACATTTTGAGCTTCAAGGGGATACGAAATTGACACCCCCTCAACAGATGACAATATGGGGCGCAAACACCGCAAGTTTCCACCCCGAGAGAGCCCTAGAATGCCTGATATCAGGCTTTTTTTTTATTTGATACGCCAGAGCCGCCCAAGATGGCGCCCGAGCCTCAGGAGGAAGAAGAGGCCTCAGAGGAGTAGTAGTATTATCCACGGTATCTCCGCTGGTAGACAGAATCAAGCAGGTACAAAGCAGGTAAAATCCAGGTAGCGTAGTTACAATCAACTGAGCAACTGGGTCAACTGAGGTTTTAATTACAGGCACAGTATTTATGGGATTCCCCATGCAAGGGGTTTCCCTACTGACATTCCAGGGGTGGCACAATAGGGGACTACATGGGGAACTGAACAGTACATAATTTTGGTTCCAGGCGCTCGACGACCAAACCCCACTGGGCTAACAAAGGAACCAAGATGGCCGACCGCCGCGTGGTCGGTAGCCGAACGACGGCCACCTAGGAACACACTTAACTACCGATTGCAGCAATGTTGCAATCGGTTAATGGGCGCCACACGACCTCCTGTGTGTGGTCGTCCATTCGGTAGGTTATTCATTTCAAGAACAGTGTTGAAACTCACTGTTCGTGAAACTACAGTATGAATGCTGGGGTTTTCATGCCGCCAGCATACGAATGCCCTCATTCGCCTGAAATGCAATTACAATCCTACACTTGTCTCTACAGCTTTAGAAAGAATACAAACATACTCATACATTGATAGTCTCCAGTGGCTAGTTTTGCCACAAGGAGGAAGAACTCTCCTCCCCGGGAGAGGACTCCGAGGAGGTGGAATCAGATGAGGACGCCTCTCCTTCTACTAAAGGAGACATAAAAAGACTCCTGGCAGACCTGTGGGCAGTATGGAAGGCAGACTTGAGAGAGACGCAGGAGGAGATGGGAGCCCTCCGACAGAATGTCCAGGCGGTAGAGTCCAGGGAGAGCACGCAAGAAACTGCTAAAGGGCACTAGGGGGCAGGTGGAGAACCTAGCCCAACAAGTACAGAGACTCACCAGGGCTGTCTCGATGATAGAGTCCCGTCACAGGCGCTGGAACCTCCACTTATGCGGCATCCCAGAGAGGATAGGGGAAGAGGCGCTAAAGCCCTTTATTCTGAGACTGGTCTCATCCATGGGCCTCAAGGGGGGCACTGACCCCACACTGATATCCAATACATTCCGGATCCGCAAGGCGGTGCTGGCGCCGGCTGGAGCACTGAGAGACACGATAGTGGTCACCAGGGATGTTGCGGTTTGCGCTGCCGTCCTGACCTGCTCCAGAAACAAGGGGAAGTTCCACGTTGAAGGATGCACTGTAGCAGTATTCAGCGACCTGCCATTCCCTGTCCTGATGGAAAAGAGGCTCTTAAACCCAATAACTGGCCGATTAAGGGAACACTCTGTGAAATACTGCTGGGGAGGAGATGGCTCGCTGATTGTTCCACATGGTGACACCACCCTGACCTCCTCTGGAGACAAGGAGGCATTCATGCGACGACTGCCGCTACCGGCTGGGCCAAGAAAAGGACCAGTAGTGCAGGGCAAAGGAACTGTGACCTGATACATAACAAGGCTGCGACCAGTAGGTCTGAGATCAACTCCAATTAGCCGTTGCAATGCTTACTTTTTTGTTGTTTTCAGTTCTCAGTTATATGGAAACTTTATACTGTGCATTTTAGTTAAAAAGGAGACAATACTTATAAGAATACCCAGATAAAGAAACTAACATTAATTATTGGTTTGAACGGATAATATATGTGCAAGTGGTCTGGGGGGACTCACCTCTTAGTTTAAGCGAACATAAGAATGCAGCACACACCTAATATGGCTAACTCACAGTGACTAACTGCATACAGTAGATGACTTTACCACCTAAGACCTTCACATGGTGGGGAAGTCTGTGGCTGGGGCCACACTACAGGCCGGAGGACTAGTAATACAGCGACTAGGAGATTGTGCTACAAGAGCTCTAGGGCTCCATATAAAGAGGTTATATATAGACCATTTCAACTAAATTGATCCATGAGCCCCGCAAAGTGACCACAATATACTGCATTATAAGTGTGCAAGATAGGACTGGGGGGACGTATACCTACTTGGCCGCATGGCTTAAGTTCGGAACCGTGGCTGCTTGCCAGAGACAGAGTGACTAAAGACCCAGATGTCCATTCATAAGTACCATGTCCACCCGCGGCCCTGCAGGGATAGCTAGAATAAGGACATGATAGGTCTGCTCCACTACGACTGCGGATGTGCCATACTTAAGCATATTTACATACTACCTAGATCACAGCGACATTACACATGTACCACCCTACGACGTAACAAAGTTAACCTGATCCATATGTGTCCATGGTTTACATATATTGTATGCTGTTGCTTGCTGTGCCAAGCATTTTCTATTACGTGTGTACCTATTTTTTTTAATTTTTCTAGCCATAAAATGATCACGGAGTGTACGAATGTACAAACCCAAATTAAATACAAATGAAAAAAAAAAAAAAAATACATTACGTATGATGTTACATATATATAAGATGTATATATATTATATATATATATATATATATATATATATAATACATATATATTTTATTTTAAAACAGGTTTAATTATTTTTTTTACACCTCCCATCAGCAGGGGGACTGTCTGACAGCTCAGACAGTCCCCCTGCTGGCACATCCACAGCCAGCTATAGGGGGCCGTGTGATCATGGTCCCCGGGGGGCCTGATTTGCCGGGGGAGGGCTTCCTGGGCTGTCAGGCAGTCCTCCCAAAGAGGTTAGTATTTAGAGGCTCCTGGAGCTGAAAGCCGTTACAGTGTTCTATGCCGCCGCAACGGCTTTAAAACCCATTTGAATGGGGACGGCATAGAAGGGGTTAATTTCCCTCAGCACAGAAGAGAGATGTATACAAAAGAGAAACAAATAAACATAATATTGCATAGTAACTGTGTAACCAATCAGCATCCAGCATGTGGTATCTCAGGGGGTTGTACTCCTCAACACTTTCTCTTTCTTCGCTGCTCCCTCAGACCAGCTAAGTACAATTTGCATCTTCTTACTCTGCAGTATTTTAGAGCTATTCATTATATTATTGTTATTATTACTGTTTTTTATTATACCTTAGTGGCTTATGATGTCTGTTTTAAATACTGTCTAAGGAGTGTGCCAGTTGTCCCTTTACTGCCTATTTGGATACCCTCCCTCCCTCTTGGCGACCTCTTGCCTGGCCGAGGGACGGCATCGGAGTTTCCCCTCCACTTCTATTCCCTCTCACGGCCCATGGGGAACCGCGGTCGCCGAGACCCGCCTGCGGCTTTTCACCACAAGTTTTCTCTGTGTCTGAGTGCTGTTCGTGCGCTGTCTTGTGGGCAGGGGTCGCTGTTCATTTCCACAGCCACGCATGTGCAGTGCGCTCCTGGTGGCCATTTTCTTGGTTCTGTCGTCTCTTCTGGTGACAGCAGCCATTTTTTCGCCCTGTAAGAGCGGGAATCTCAGTGCAGGTCCGGCAAACTAACGAAATACAACTCCTACTCCTCTGGCAAACTCCCTATACCGGGTATTGTTAACTTTTTCGACTAAGTAATTTATCATCATCATCATTTTTCCTATATCAATTGAGGATGGTATTTGAATATACAAGACATTATATCTTTGGTATTATACCAATTATCCAATATTCACTGCTTAGTAGATCTCCCTCTGTCTTTTATATTTGTGTGTATATTCATTTTTCTCTCCTCTCTCTCTCTCTCTCTCTCTCTCTCTCTCTCTCTCTCTCTCTCTCTCTCTCTCTCTCTCTCTCTCTATATATATATATATATATATATATATATATATATATATGTGAGTGTTAATATCCACTCCTGATTGTTAATTTTGTGCTTGTATGCTATAGGTTTTCTCCTGCTAGCTCCTCAAGTAGTTGTGGCTGGATTAAGCAATACATACCACTTCTCCCATTTTACCCTGTGTCTATCTTAATAGGTTTCTTACCCAAGTCCTGCCTTAAGTTGCTCTGCTGGGCTAATTATACCAATTAAACACACTTTACTGGGGCACTGTGGTTGTTTGACTCTCAGTATACAGTCTACTGGCAATGGGCCTTCTGGCCAGCCTCTGACCTTTCCCGGGGCTCCTACCTCTGACCCCATGGAAGACGCCACCTTGATGACATCAGAGGAATTCCAAAGCCTGTTGGACATGACTATGATGAATTCCATTAGTAAGGCCTGAACATCGGCCATGGGAGTCATGTCCTTCATGATTACCCAGTCCATTACACAGGCACTGATGCAGGCACACCCTGTTTCCCAGGCCCCTATGCAGAGCGCTGCGGCACCTAGTGTAACCCTGCCAGGTCGCAAAGCCCTGTGCAAGTGGAAAACACGGTATACCCCCCACACTCAACCAGGAGACACCTGGCTTGACTGGCACACCTCAGGCTGTCCATGATGGCGCACAACAACCACGCAACGCAGCCACTTGCCGGGCAAAAGCATCCAGAACTTGGAAAAGGGCGAAAGCCTAAGAGATACTGTCAGGCAAAAGTGAGGAGGAGGGATCAGATGAGACTTCCTCAGATCCTTACGAGGCCGAGATATCTGAGGGCGAGGACCTTGCAGGGAAGCAGTTTGCCTCCACATTGTCTAAAAAGGCTCTGATGACCGAGCTATCAGACTTGGCAGGGTCGGGCGAACTCCGGGATGCTAAGGCAACCCTGGTGTTCGACCCAGATGACCTACGCCACCCACACTCCGTAGAGTGGGAACCACTGGAGCATATTGCGTAATACCTGGCGCTAAGGGCACGTAAACCCATCTCCCAAGAGGGCCGTAATAAACTGAGGGCTGAATGCCCATGCCCTATTATACCAGATAATGGTAGCAAAAACCCCTGAAGTGGACCCACAGATTGTCCAGTTTTTGACTAAAACCGTCTGGAAGTTGAAAAAAGGCCTTGATTTATCTCTACGAAATTGCCAAGATAAATTCTTGGACACCCTGGGCTCAATTACCAAGCTGTACTCACTTCTGGAAGCGGCACAGTCGGGGGAAACCCAACTGGATTATGAGGTGGCTTTTGGATGGCTGCAACGCATGGTCAGAAACGTTAATACAGCCATGTCCACCGATCACAGGAAGGCCATTCTCCTTAAAATAGAACCAAAATTTGCTAGCATGGCTACCAGCAAACCAGGGGCGACCACTAAAGGCCTACTATTTGGCGAGTCCTTTTTGCAGCTGCAGACTTGAGTACAAGTAAGATTTTACTATTTTTAGTGAGGCAAGAGGGGATCAGGGGGGCCTAGATGGTGGTTTTAACATAATAGGGTCAGAAATACATGATTGTGTTTCTGACCCTATAGTGTTCCTTTAAGCAAGAGTATGTGAAAAGTAGTTAGGGTTGCCACCTTTCTTGGGATCTTTCGTGAAGACTTCCACGGCGCTTGTTAAAGCGCAGACCTCCATTAAACATGTGTTTCACCAAAATGCACATTTCGCTAGACAAAGAATCCAGCGAAAAACTGACCTGGTGGTTGGACCACATGGAAGCATGGAACGAACGAGCAATCTTCGGATCCACTCCAGATCTAGTGATAGAATCAGACGCAAGCCTACATGGCTGGGGCGCGCTTGCGGACCCATATCCACCGGAGGTACATGGTCCACAAAATCATCATTTCAACATATAAATTGCCTGGAATTATTGGCAGCTTCGTTTGCCATTTGCAGTCGCTCGACCACGAGCATCTCCTGTTCGATCCTTCTCAAACTAGACAATGTGTCCGCTACATAAATCACCTAGGTGGAACCAGATCAGGGGTACTGGCACAAGACTTCTGACTGCGGAACACATCCTGGGTCAGGAGAATTACACGGCGTACTGGAACTCCTGTTATCTGGAGGACATGGAAGCTTCAACCTTCCATATTCAAGGAAATTGCCAACCTCTGGGGACCCCTGCATGTGGATCTATTCGCATGCCGACTGAATACCTAACTGTGACGAAGTGCCCTTCACCACTTGTGCCTGGAGAGGACTGCTTGCCCGCCTCTTGCCCTGTGACTATGGACACTGGGAGATTTGGCCCGTTCAATTCAGTATGATAGGAGTTATGTATTTTTGTATCCTTTTGTGTTTTACTGGGAACATGTGCTCAGTGGAGTCTGCTTTTATCCCTGGATAATTGGATTACTTTCCCCATTGTCTCCAGGCTAGAGGGCTCTGTAAAACCAGTTTGGGCCAGATAGCCATGCTGCCAGCCAGGCCCCAAAAGATACTTTACTAACTTCTGAACCCCTGGTCTGATTCATGCCATTTTTTGATACGTTGTTTCCCTGAATGGATTGATTGTGAATATATCATTTTTATATGAATGTGATGTATATTTTAGAAGTTATGAATGCTGTAAAAACGGTATTATTTCTGGCCAGCAGATAATTGAGCTTTGTGTATTGTAGAAACTCAATTATCTAGCCTGGCCCAGAGGAGGAGTTTTGTGTTGCATAAATTGTGAGTTCTGTGTGCCAGTAAATCAGTCTTGTTCCAGCATTAAGCCTTGGCTCATGTTTGGGGGATTGGAGAAATACACTCTGGGATTGCTATAATCACTATACTCCCCAGGGTATGATCACTAAGTTCTGCTAAGAGCTTGTTCCTGTTCCTGCTCTCTGGGGAAAGAGAGGTTCACCCACTGGAAGCTGGATCCTGGCCTTGGGTCCAGGGTGGGTGGAGACAGCAGAGACCCCGGCGCAGTTGCATCGCTGGAAGTGGGGTCTGCAGTGCTGATGGTGTCCGTTGGAGTGCTTGGAGTCCTCAGCGAGCACTAGGAGCGTCGATTGGCGGAGGTACTCAGTCGGAGTGCTAGCATCCGTCACATTTGATGTGACGAGAGCAATCTCGCCACACCAACTGCCTCAGTTCTTCAGTTGGAGACCAGATCCAGAAACCTTGGCAACAGATGCATTCCTTCAAGATTCTTCCAGGGACCAGTCTTATGCCTTCCCCCCGTTCAATCTGATCACTCGGACTCTGGCATACCTATGGCATTGCAAAGGCACCATAGTCCTGATAACTCCGGTCTGTAAATCGCTACCCTGGCTCCCACATCTCATGGAGATGGCGGTGGATTACCCGCGATTACTGCTGGACAAACCTTTCCTCCTGACCAACCCGGACTCATAGACCAGGGACTTCTACCTCTACTGGCTTGGCTCATTTCCGGGGACCCTGGGCAATCTGAGATGTTTCTCACACAACTGCCCAGCTCCTGGCAAACGCTTGGGCACCAGGAACTCGACAATTGGTGCTTGGAATAGTCGTTGGATCTTGTATCAGCTCCTCTCCACTGAAGATGGTTTTGAGCTTCCTTACACACCTTTTCGCATCAGGCAAGGCTTTTCATACCGTAAACCTTTATAGATCAGCTATCTCTATTGGAGGTTTTGAGGGTATTCCAATTGGGAGAAACCTGATGGTTTGTCGCCTACTCAAAGGTATTAGTTTTTCACGCCCCCCAAAACCGAGGTATGGGTCATTTTGGGATGTGAATGCGGTTTTCAACCTATTGGACTCATGGCCGCAAAACACCGACTTATCTCTGAAACAACCATTGGCCAAATTACTCATGCTGTTTTGTCTGCTGTCATGCAAACAGGTATCTGATGGCAAAGCGCTGCATTGGCGTTGCCCCAGGTCTTCACCTCTGAAGGAGTATCCTTCGATATATCGTGGAGGACAAAGTCTTTGACCAAGAACAGCTACTACCCTAGATTCCCAGAACAACCTAATCTGTGTCCGATTTTATGCCTGAAGGAATACAAGCTGCGCACTTCTTCGTTGTGACATCACAAGACAGTCCTCTCTTCATCTTGTTTAGTAGACCTCATCTACCAGTGTCTACAACTACCTTGGCTCGCTGGGCTTAATGGCTGTTCCCCCTGGCTGGTATCGATACCACAATTTTCTCTGCTCATTCAGTCAGAGGTGCAATGGCTTTGAAAGCTTTAAAGTTGGTTGCAGACTGGAAGACATCCTGAAGGCTGCGGATTGGTCTAAAGAATCCACTTTCCGCAACTTTTACTTTAGACCGATAGAACACTTTTTGGAAATCTCAAAAGTTTTTTTGTTGTTGTTACACTGTTTCTATACACTCTGAACGTAAAACTGCATTTTATTGTTTCTTTGAGATGAGAAAACCTTCAATAAAAGGCTATTTACCAAAAAAAAAAGAACACTTTTTGGAGTTGGTTGTGGCTCAGCTTTAAAATTGCATAATAGGAGACTCCGTGTCTTTAATAAAATTCCCAGATTTTTGCTATTAACATGACATCAGGATGTGAGGATCTGTATGGCGCTCGGTTCCGCCTGGGCCCATGTGAGCCGCCCACGTCGGTCTCCCCTGGTGTTTCTCTGCCGAAGGTAAGTCCTCGGTCGGGCTCCATTCCGGTAGCTTTTGCCCGTTTAGGCGGTCGGCTCGGACCCCACGCATTATCTTCCGCCCTGGAGTGTGCAGTCGCCATGTGGCCGGCTGGGGAGGGGGGAACGGGGCCTTGCCGCCACTCGCAGCTGTGCATTCTTCCATGCAGCTATTCTTGCAGGCATACCGCTATCTCCGGGCTGCCAAACGTTTATCCATGTGTCCTCGGGAGCTTGTCCGTGCTTGTGATGGTGAGAAGGCCCACTTCTTTATTTGGGGTGTTCCAGGCTTGAAACCTG